TTTTGGTTATATTTATAGAGTGTTCAAAGGAAATTGAATAATAGTTTACTACTGTTGTAAAAATTGAAATTGATTAAATAAATAATACTATAAATGGTTATAGTTGAGCAAGACTACTAACTACTACTACTGCAACTATATATTTAAATTTAATGCATTGCTGCAAATTTTTCTTTTATTAGACATTCACTTTACTCTAGTATGTATGAAGTTTAATAAAAATTTATTTGCCTTTAACAACAATTTAAGACACATAAAGCCCATTCATTGCATGTGTATTGAAAACTCATTTTTAATAGTGAAATTTTCGATTCAGCACTTTAAGAAAATGTAAAAAATAATTTATATATATGTGTGTATAAATGAAGTGGACACGTAATTATGTTTACGGCCGCATCTTTAAGCGCAGATGCACCGCATATTCAGTTAAATATTAATGATGTTGTCAATTCTCAAACCGACTGCCCCGCCCACACAGCCAGCTAGCGCCCAGTCACGTTTCTCGCCTGGCTACGCTTTCATAATAGAGCTCGGCGCTGTTGGTCTGGCCTGATGTGCCTTGGCCTCTGTCGCTCTGTAGCTGCCAAGTATGCAATATATTTGATGTGTATACATATATGTATGCATGTGTTTCTCCCACACACACACACACTCACTCGCTCTCCCTCTGGCGTGCAGCCATCACTATCATAAACATTAACGGCTTTTACTTACCCGCTGCTCGTGGCTGGCAGTCACTTTTGCACTTGACACAAAAGCGAAATGTAGGCAAGCTGCTGAATTCTTTTATGAAGCATACTTTTGAGCGCTGCCGCTGCTGCTGTTGCTGCTGTTGCTGCTGCTGCTCTGCTGCTGCTGCTGTGATTTTTCACAAGCAGCCAAGACATGTGGAGCACGTCAGGCACGCAAAACTTTGACCTACAGCAGATCCGTTAACCAGAGAGCCAACCAACCGAGCGAGCGAGCGAGCGAGGGAGCGCGCGATGACATGTGCCAGGGCTTATAATAAAAGGCGACAAAATGTTGTCGCTGTCTCATATCTGGCCATATGTGTGCGTAAGTACCGTTGGCACTTTTAAAGCGTCTATTTGTTATTTGAAAACTTGCTAGCAAGCACGCTGGCTTACCTATACACTACCACACACACACACATATATATATAGATGTTTGTGGATGTGAGCTACCTGGCAGTTGACTGCTTACGCGACCACATAAAAGCACATAGGCGCCGCGACGTTTGCTTGCCAAGTTTTAGTGCGGTCTCTTGACCACACCCCTTTGCGGTCAGCCCTGAGTCGGGGCGCCTTTAGGCGCATTCAGCATGCCCGGCACGTTCCGTTTCATTTAAAAGTTGGGGCTAGCATCGAGTAAAAATCAAATAAAATTAGCACAAGACGCGCATGTGTAAGCAGCGGAAAATTGTTTTCAATTTGCGCCAGGTATATGCCCATTCACACACACACACACACACACGCACACATACAGTTGAAATCGAAACTATTTAAGTACATCGTAGGCAATACAAGTTTGTAGATGCTTTCGAGCATTTTACGTGCGATTTACGCAAATGAAAAACCAAATATAATCAAAAGCCTCCACGAAGGTTGAGCTGCAACCAAAAACTGTTTTGCTTGCCATCAATTATTAAGGAGCAATGCGATTCCTTGAGCATGAATAAGAGCTGAGCTGAGAAGCTAAAGCCTTCAATTTTATTGCAATACAAAATTTAATCGGATGAAAATTATTAAATAAATTGAAGTAATCAAGAATTTCTCTAAAAAATAATATCCAATTATTTAGCACACTTCATGCTCATTCTGAAATGCCTTAATTTACTGATGTACTTTAATCAGGCATTCCAACATGCTTACACTTGTGCTCTCTCTCTCTCACTCTCTGTCTTTATCTTTCTCCCTCTCTCACGCACATATTGTCATTCAATAAATACAAATTACACATTCATCACTGTCAGCGTCGATGGAAATTGTGCTTTAATTTCACGCCTGTGTCCTTGCGGCGAGCGGGCGAATGAGTTGGCTTTAAATTTGCAATGCGAATCGACATCAAGTTGTATTTACAAAATATATGAGCAATATGCATGCATTGGCAAACATATTGATTATGATAATAATGTTAAGCAGATTCATTAAAAATTTAAAACAAAGGTGTTTATTTTCTTATCTTATTTGTAGGCGTAAAATGTGCATCAAATTTGATTGGAAACTTAAACTTAAATTGTTATTGATTTGTATTAAATTTGATTAATATTTGTTGTTAATATTTTTTGTTATTGTTAATTGATATGCATCTGATTGTTAAGAGATAATATTGCAAATTATTTACAATTTTTTAATTAAGTTTCTTCTTCTTTTTTGTTGGCATGTGATGCATTCATGAAAATATATATATATTTTTTTTTTGCTTCACTGACTGTGAAATAAATGAGCATATGCTTACGATAAGAGAGTGAGTATAGCTTCATATATATTTGAGCTGATCAATAGGTAGATCTGGGGGAGCTGCGCCATAGCAAAGCAAAGATATAGATATAGATATACCTATAGTGAAATCATATCATCAAGCATCAAAATAACTTGAATCTATCAAAGTTTTCTATAATATGGCTTTATATATACAAGTCTCTGAATATGCGACCTTGTCATTGTATTTTTGACATGCGAGGGCATGTAAAAATACTTAATATTTATGTATTTATAGTCAGGCATATTCATGAACATGTGGAATTGGTTTTAGTATTTCAATTTCATTTTTAGATTTAATATTTAATTGCATTTTTCCATAAAGTAAAACAAAATATATCAAATTTATTAAAGATTCGCTCAATTTTATTTAGCTGCATAGTTTCTATATAAATATTATAAATGAATCAAATATAATACATATAAAGTTTACTCATCAAGCTTTTGGCATTAGTTGAGTGCAAGCTACCCGAAACTATTCAATTTTCAATTGAATCAAAAACTCTTAAATACCAAAATCTGGTATATTTAAATGCTCTGCTATAAATTAATTACATACTAAATGCTCTTTGCACGCATATAATTGTTTAGCTAAATTCTAGTCTCTCGGCTAATATTTAATTGCAGTTCAATTAACTTGACTGCCCGAGGCTAAATACAAATTCTCTCGATTATATTATTTGCATATTAATTTTCAATTACAGCGACATTTAATCCGAGTGAGCTGCACTGGTCAACCAGTGGCTGTTGGTTTGATATCCTGTGCAAGATTCTCAAAATTGCATTTAATTGCATTCATTTATACCGCTTCGCATGTGTTGCAAGGCAGAGTATATTGGCTTTTGGGAATGAGCTGTTGATTTAAGTATGGGGACTGAGATATGGATGCATGTGTCTCTCTATCTATCAGAGACTCTTGGCATGAGTGGCTGTTAAGAGTGTACTGAATCGATGCTATAATATATCACATTTTATACAGAATTTACAATGAAGCTCCATATCCTTGTCAGCTCTCTAGCTAGTCCAAAGTCTGTCTTAAATAACATTTTAAATATTCCCTAAGCTGCTAACGAGTATTAAGCTGTCTCTCATAGATCTCTCAATCATATATTCCATATGGCTGGTAAATGTCCGTTTGAGACATTTTAATGCCAATTGCAATATGCACATGCGTGTGTGTGTGCATTGGTTATAGTAAACGCATTGGCCTACCAAATGTGCTTAAATTGAAATAATTTGGTCAGCCGCACCGCAAATGCAGAGCTGCCTGTGGCAAAATTTCTATTTCTAATTTCAATTTCTGGCAAGCAATTAGGGCGCAGCTTTTGATGTGGCTTCTGGTCGGCTTTGAACTTGACGGCCATGACAGCATAAATAACTAAGTAGCTGACAAATGGCAAACGTGTGCGAGCTGCTAAACTCTTCAAGAGCTGAGCTAACAAATTTAAATTCAAGCAACTTTTTCCATAGACGACTTTGATTGCAGCGAGACAAGAGCTCAATTTTAATGGCTAATTAAGCGCGAGAGTCGAAAGGGTTTCATTGCCTGCGCGGAGACGGCCAGAATGGCTGAGGTGTGCACCTGTATTACAAAGGCATTAGGCGTGGAGCAGGCGACACTGATGGGCGTGTGTGATGCCATTTAATGCCAATGAAATGTTTTTTTTTCTCTTCTTGCTTTTTATTTTTATTGAGTGCGTTGCGATGAGTTTTTAATTAACTTTCGGTGGAGCTGTAGCCAGGCCTTGTATAAAGGCAAATCGGTTCGAAGCGGCGCATTAATTAGTTACGCATTTGAAAAGCACACACACACACCCACACACACACACACATGCGCAGGCACACAAATGTGTATGGAAATTTGTAAAATTGCTTGAGCGCACCACATGGCGTATGATTAATGTGAGCATTTTGTACATTTTATTAAATAAATTGTAATTTATCATTGAGCAACAGCGAAGCGAGAGCAAATCAAATAAATTACACAGCACTCGAGCAAAAACTTTGACCATTAAACGCTCTAAACAAACAAACGGAAAGCAGTGACGATTTTAGTCCACCCACCGAGCCACCCGCCCACATCTATCGCCGCACTGATTCGATTCGAGTGCGGTTTGTTTTTGTTTCACTTACTCTGCTGTTGCTGCTGTTGTTGTTGTTGCTGTTGTTGTTGTTGGTATTTTTGTTTGTGTTCATTTGCGGAGCATTTTATTGCAATTGATTTTTGGTGCCGCCAGCTGCAGAGCCGGACAGACACAGTTGGCCAGTCGGCCAGCCGGACGGACACAGCCGACACAGATACGGGCTCTGAGGCGAGACAAGTGTTGCGGCTGCGGCTTAAGTTTGTCGACAAATTGAAAACTTTTTGCGCAAGAAAAATAAATGAAAACACCAACGAACCGACCACAAAACCAAAGTCTTTTGGCCGCCAGCAAGCACCACCCCACACCTCCCGCCCCCTACCCAAAAAAAAGACTGAAAAAATGAAGTCAAAATCAGACGAAGAGAAAACAATCAAAGTAAGCGAGCAACAAATGCGACTCGGCTTTAATTTCACGCGTCTTGAGGCCAGCAAGGCTAATTTTTTGTTCATCTTCTTCTTCTTGTTGCTGTTTTCTGCCATAAATAAATAAACGACTGCGAAGTAGTTGGCCAACAAATTGGCAGTTGTGTGCAACAGCTGCTCAGGGCTGCTGTCGGCTAACCGGCTTAGCCAGCTATAAAATATGCATGCAGTGAGTGTCGCTGTGTGTGTGTGTGCATGTGTGTGTCTGTGAGTTCGTCGCCATTTGACCCTAGGCGCCACCGGCAGAGCTGTAGCAGACGCTGTAGATGGATCGCGGCCGGTGGGGCAGATGCACCAGCGCGTGGTGCTGCACCTCGTCCGCCTGCACATCGGTGCTGGAGAAGGGCGAGGCGCCGGTGATCTGGCTGAAGCGGGACTGATAGCCGCGTATGGCCGAGACGCGCTCGCGCCAGGTGTGCCAGAAGTACTGCTTGTGTATGTGACCGCCAAACTCGAAGATCATGGGACGCTCCGCCCTCAGCTGCGGATCCATCGGCTGCACGCTGAGCATCATGAGGCAGCGCTCGCGCTTCCGATAGAAATTGAAGCGTATATACTCGAGCGGCACCATGCTGATCAGATCGAAGCACTCGATCTCCGGATCCTGGCCCAGGCCGCAATACCAGCTCGGCTCTCCATAGAGCTCCTCGTCCCGGTCGAAGTTGTCGCAGCCGAAGAGCAGCTTGGTGCCCGTCAGAGCGATTTGGTACTGGCGCAGGCCCACGCCATGGGCATCGACCAGTGTGAAGGGACTCTCCACCATTACCGGCTCGTAGATCTCTTGGTATTCGGTGAGCAGAACTTTTTGCACTCGAAACATCGTGTCAGCGGCAATCGCAATCGCAATCGTAATCGTAATCGACTTTGCCAACGACTTTTTGTCTATAATTTAATTGAAATGTCAATCAAAGTTTCGCTGTTCGGTGCTCTTGCGTCTTCTCGTCTTGTCTGTCCTCGATCTGTCGACTTGTTTGTTCTGAGTTGAGTTTCTTTTGGTTTTTGGGCTTCGGTTTCTGGCCTGGACTTGTCCCAGTCACACTCACTGTCACAGTAGCAGCGCCTGCTGTGTGCTATCCCAAAACTGTGCTGCAAAGTCGATTAGGCGCATGCAAATCAATTCAGCCCGATTCCACACAGTGTGGCCCCAATCCCGATTTGCATCTGAATTTAAATTGCTATTTGTCCAATCGCCAGTCCACTCTTCATTCTCTCGTCTCGCATAGTTTGCCAAATGCCTGCATTATATGCACTCTGTTGACCCCCGAGCGGTGGCTGACGGAGCCATTGACGTCGCATTTAAGCCATGTAATTCTGCTTGGCTTTTTGTGCGTCTGCAAGTAGTCTGCACTGAAGAAGGTTTTTAGAGCATCGAGTATGCTTTTAAATAATAAGAATAAATATTTTATTTTACTTTTATTCTAATAAAAGAATATATCGAATTACTGTATGTAAATTCAAACTTAATTAGCTTGCCATTTAAGGACAATATTTATTTATAGTTATTATAATAGAATATGTATTTATTTATACACATTTATATATATTTCCACTTTAAGTAACACTAAAATAAAATAAAATAAAGTGCACTTAATTCAATGCAAGCATCACAGATAATTTTGATCAGCAAATTGAATTTGCTTTTGTCATTTTTCACATTTCGTTTAGTTTCGTGATTTATGTCCACCATCGCCATCGAGTAGCCTCGATGCTAGTGGATCTTCGTTTTACAACCAATTGCAATTGCTGACAGATTCCACTCAGAAATCCTTTCGAGCATTGAGCAGCTGGCGCTGTTCACTCGATGAGATAAGCATATTTCAACAAGATTGACTCTAGCTGCGGCGACAAAATGTCCTCGAGCTGTCATGTCCGAGACAATGTGCTATTCCGGGTTCCGTTCGACTACAGCTTGTGCCAAAGACGAAAATCATCATCAATTAATTAAGGCGCCTGGCAGAGCTGTCACAATTGCCACATGTACGAATTCGGGATTTAATTAAAAACGTTTTCTTGGGCAAAATGTATGCTCGACTCCATGCGATGCGATAAATAGTCAACCGAAATATTGCTAGCCCATTAATTTGTGGCAAATTGTGGAGATTGCCGCAAATTGCGATGCGGTAATTAATGCAGCAAATGTGTTTCGCATCTAAGACGCTTCTAATTTGCAACACTTGATCTCGAGTGGTTCCATTGAAACTGTTTGCACATCCAATTCGAGTGGCGAATGGCCTTCAGCCATTCAGACCATTGGCTTTGGCTTACAAATGGCCGCAAAATGCATTTCCTGCCCAGAGCAGAGATTCGAGATGCCCCATTCCCAGCCTCCTCCAGCCACTAGTGGATGCGTGGACTGACTCGATGGCTGCCTGGTTGGCTGCCTGGCTGGCTGTACACGTCAATTGTGCTTAAACTGAGTGCAGCAATTAGGTAAAAGTGGCTCTAACAACAATACACACAAAGCACATTTACACAAGCATAAGCATGTGTGTGCGTATGTGTGTGTGTGTGTGTGGTTTATTGCCGTTTTGAGCTTTTCATTACAAACATTTCAGGTTTTTATTGTTAAATGCGACGCAACATCAAATGGAGAATCAAGCATTGCTCATACATACATACACATATATACATATATATATAGTACAACAACAGTTAAAATTACGTATACTTTACAGCTACCGTTACAGTTATAGATACGTCTGTGTTAGTCAGACATACTTACCTGTGTTTGTTATTGTTCGCTCTCACAGTCACATATTCGTTGCCATTATTCACCTATACCTAATAGTGTTTACCTCTGCTTATATATATATACCTATCTCTCTCCCTCTCTCTCTCCCTCTCTCGCTGACTGCTGTGTTATGCGTACTTTGTGGCTCACTTTGATGCACATTTCAGGCAGTGGTTTTTTCCTGCTCGGTACGTAATGTCGAGTGCATAAAAGCTCTATTAGCATCAAAGTGCCGCATAATGTTGAGAGTCCGCACTTGAAATGGGCTCGCAGCTTTATTGTTAAATATGGCTCGCGCGCGAGCATTATAAGTGGGCCACGTTTGTTTTCTTTTTTTTTTTGCCTATTTCCTACTTCAGGTTTTAGACATAAATTGTTACTTCCCGGGCAGGTACTTGAAAATTTAATTAAAATTTGGAGTAGCCATCAGGGGTGCAGGAAATGGGTGTCCATTTAATGGCATTTACACAAAACTTTGCAAGGAATTGCATGAATTGAGAGTTATATATGATTAGGCCATAGATGCTTGCTGTAGATATATATTACACATATATGATAATAAAATATAACTGTTTTATTTATATACATACGAGTAAAAATGTATCTTATTATTATTAATTATTCAATAAAACAAGTATCATATTTATTTGATGATTAATATTTAACTGTTTTATTTATAAACATACGATTTAAGCTGTATCAGTAAAGTAAAGTTTTAAATTCTATAAACAAATTTCTACTCCATCAGAAAACAATTTTAATAGGTGAAATATTAACACCATATTTAAAGCATTATTTAAAGCAACTGAAATATGCTCATTTGTTTTAATAAACTCATTTTTGCAGCAAAAATTAATAATAATTAAATACAGCAGTTTTATTTCAAATTGCACTACTGCTATTTCTAACACAGGACTACAGGATTTGGTAGTCAACTAAAGTCCTTATATATGTTACCTCTATATTCAATAAATAAATATAAATGTTATTTACATATATATATAGGATTTATTCTATAGCAATGTATTGATTGATATGATACAGGCAGCCATCGAGAGAGGGAAAGGGCCTCTCCTGTTCTCTTTCACTCACCAGCTCTATAGCTCTCTCAATCTATTTTTCTCTCTATCGTTTTGTCTCCTCCTCTCATTATATCTTTGCCTCTCTCCCACTACCTCTCTCCCTTACTCTACCTCCCTCTCTCTCTAAACTTCCCACTTTCTTCATATTTTGTTAGCCAGTGTAGTTAAAGCACAATCTCAATAGCTATCAACGAAGCTGTAATCAATTTTCGCACGTTTATAATAAACCAATTACATTCAAAATTTGCACTTTATGTAATATGAATAAAAATTAATTGATATCTATTCAAATAATGTGCCATGATATTATTTCATAAGCCAGCATACTCAGTATACCCTATACAATGGGCTGAGCACCTCATGTAAAGACTTCGATTTCCCCTTCAACTTTGGCATTCTAAATGCTAATTAGCCATTACGCCTACATGGAAATCCATCTAGCCCAAGCTACTTTCGCACCGCCTGCAGGGTATCTGCATAGTGCACCTCGCTCTCATCTCATCAGCCGTTAATCACTTCAGTTTGACATTTGCACCGCATACGCTTTTGATGTAATTAATCCCGTTTTTATTAATTGGAAACGCCGCTCCCATCGCCGCTCATGCGGTGGCCCTCGATACGGCCCTGAGAGCAGCACAATGGGCGGACAGGTGGGTAGCTGGGTAAAGGCTTACATAACATAAGCTTTGATATTATCCCACCCACACACACACACACGCATGAGCTGAAACTTAAATGGATTTAGTTCGACTCACTATCTGCATTTAAGACTTAAAAGCTAGAGCTTCTCTCTCTCTCTATCACTCTCTCTCTCACTGGGCCACTCTTCTCCATTGGAGCCATGAAAAGTAAATCGCATTCAGTTACTTTTGTACGCCCAATTGAAGCAGCCATCAAAATACTGAGCTGAAGTGGCGGATGAAAGTGGAGGCAGCGTTCAGCATGCAGATGTTCTATTAAGTGGGAATTACCGAAAAGAGGTTGTCAAGCCAGAGACATGACACCGCCATATGGCATCACACTGTAACACAGTTGGCATCTAGTACCTTGAATACCCTGTAAGTGTGTGACATGAGGTCGTTTGCGTAATGAAAGTGCAGGGAAGCACAAACTATTTCTGCAGGCTCTCTCTTCTCTTTAAACTACTTTGCTTTTTCAACTCTCTCACATAATCAACAGGGCATCATTTAATTGAATATGCCCTACTCTAATATTTCACTCTGTATGTAGTTTACTTTCTTTGTTGTTTTGCTTGAGTGCGTAGGAAACTATTTACACTGTTTATCTTTATTGGCATCGCATAGTCGCAGAGCTTAAACTCAATTTTTGCATTTGGCGCTTATCGCACATCCGCATCTCCACCGACACATTTGCACAATTGCTTGTAGCTGACACGTCCGACAGGCAGCCAGAGAGACAGACAAGTGCAAGTCGAAGGCGAAGTCGAAGGCGAAGCCAAAGTCGAGGCATAGGTAGAGCCAATCTCTTACAGAATGTGGACTGCCAACAATGTCTGTATTCAAATGGCTCTGTTTAAAGTAGTATGTGTGTGGGTGGGTGGGTGCGTATGTGTGTGTGGGTGGGTGCGTATGTCTCCGACAGGTGTGGGACCACAATCTCTGCACTTGAGGCAGATTTATTTTATACACATATATGTACACACGTATATATATATATATATATATATATTTATATGTAAATGCCGTTAACTTTCTAATGCAATTCACGTGCACACTCAAATGCAGTTGTGCGTGTGCGTTTTTCTGTTCCACTTGTTTTTATACCCTGTACACAATGATAAACGGCATATGAAGTATGTGAGAGGGTAAACTATACAGATGAATCGATAAAATACTTTGAATTTACATTGTTTGATCTGAGTGGAACAGAGGCTCAGCTGCATACTTCTCATACATTTTCCTGATTCTTTCTTATATCTAATATATGTCTAAGCCACTCTTAAAGAACTTTCAGTTCGAGGTGAACTCGATACTCTCGCTTTTTATACCCTGAACCCATTGAAAATGGGAAATCAGGGTATAATGTTTTTGTGTAAAAGTATGTAACAGGCAGAAGGAATCATCGCAGACCCCACA